CGCTCGCTTACTTTCGTCCTCCGCATTTCCACCGGTGTCCGTTCGCCGATACTGTACCGGATCACCTGATGGTCACTATGAGTGTACTCTTCGCACATTCTCCAGTTCATATTTGCCATTAGCGACGTACTGCAGAAAGTTACGTCGATAATGGATTCCCTACTATCTTTGCGGAAGGTGCTGATGGTTCCTAAGTTGGCCAGACTGACGTTCAACTTTACCAGAGCTTCCAGCAGGCTATACCCTCTTGCGTTGGTACACCTGCTCCCCCAATCCACTGCCCAAGCATTGAAATCTCCTGCGATGACGATTGGTCTCCGTCCAATGAGCTCTCCGGTGAGCCCATCTAGCATCTGGTGGAACTGCTCAATTGTCCATCTCGGAGGTGCGTAGCAACTACATACATAGATTCCATTGACTTTGGCGATCACGAAACTTTCGTATGAGCCCGCCACCACTTGTTCAATGACTTGTATGGCCGCCATTCCTGCTCTATCCGTCACCCAGTTACCATTATCGAGAGGGACTCGATATGGCTCTGCAATGATTGCAACGTCGCACTTTATTTCCGTTGTTGACTGCCACAACAGTTGCTGTGCTGTGTTGCAATGATTGAGATTTATTTGGGTTACCTTCATTATTGCTGGCCCACCATCGCCTTCATGAACTCTGGACACCTGAAACTTCCCGTCACATGGCCGTTTCAGTCCTCCTTTTTGCAGAGCATGCATCTCGGATACTTTGTACAGTCTTTTGCAACGTCCTCCTTCTCTCCGCATTTCCTGCACAGATAAGATCTGTCGGGGCCTTTGCAGTTTCTCGCCTAATGACCGAAGCCCATGCATTTGTAGCATCTCTCCATTTTCTTAGATACCCGAGGAAAAGCTTTCAACGGGCACAGTGACCACCCAACCTTGATTCGGCCTGTCTTCAGCAGCTCGTTAGCTGCGTCCGAAGGAAATCATATCGACGTCGTCTGCAATGGTGGCGTAGGACTACGTGGTTTTATATAATATATGTTATTTGTTAACTGCAGCAGGAGCTTGTATTTTGTGGGGTTCCATCTGCATATAAGAGACACGGCAGAAACTTTTTAGAAGTTCTAAAAACTCAAGAGCATTTGAGAAGGTGCGCGAAAGAGCTCGGCACGATCGGTGTTGATGTTGGTTCGCTCGCAACAATTTTTGCAAAAAAATAAATGTGTTCGACCAAAATTGATACTGAAAGTGCACCAAAAGTACTTCTGAACGTGTTTCGCAGTAGGGTGTGGTAAAATTCGTGCATTCCCGGTTGATTTTCAGTGGAATTCCCGTATCACAAAATTGCTCACCGAGTTTCTTTTTTTGCCGTTCGAAGGTGACGGGTTTGCTTTCGCGAGAGTGACGTTTATTGGATCCGTTTCTTTGCACGGGTGTGTTTTTTTTTTGTAACCAGCGGTGTGTAAGCGTGCTTGTGATTTTAATTGCTTCCCGCGAGGCCGGTTCACCGTGTTCAAATGTCACGCTTTCAGCGTGTAGTTCTATTGAGAGTCTCGTCATCGTGTGCGAGTTTTAACATGGTCCGGTTGGTAAATTAGCCGAGGAAAGTGCTGATAATGTATCCGCCGCGAGTTTTGGTGGCCGACGTTGCCGTGAATCAGCGAGTCTACGGCTTGCACCCTCCTCTTAGATGACCAATGACAATGCAAGAAAGTTTGTTTTCATTGAAGGAAGTAGTACAACAAAGGCAATTACTATTAGATATTTTTGCAAACAGTGACAGATAGCAGACATGAAACTCTAGTGGAGGAGCCGGGCAATTTTGTTATATCCTAGACAAATGGTAAGTTACAATTTGTCGTAGGCACCGTCGTATTCGCCGTCGAATTCGCCGTCATAGTCGCTGTCGTACTCGCCGTCGTAGTCACCGTAGGTAGTACCGTTAGTATATTTAAATTCAACAATCAACCGCTGACACTATATGAATAATCGCGTATTTCTGTTGTTCATTACATACCAAGTGAAATTCCAGAACGTAATTTCATTTGAATAGCTTGTTTAACTAGAGCTTAAACAATCGTCACGTCGGTCATAGCTTGCTATAATTGCCTGAACAATGTGTAAAAAGCAACTCGAAACATTGAACGTCGCGGGAAAGTGGAACCTAATGAAAACCTAAGTACTCTTTCGTAGCTTATAGTTTTCGGATCTTTCAATCGACGGTTGCAGTTGATTGCTTACTGAGCAGAAAAACGCGGTCCAGGGTCCTTTCATATTAAAAATGTATGGTAAAATCGCTTGTTTATCGTGAATTTTGTAAAACTTTCGTTCTCGTCGGTGCCGGGTTTGAATAGTTATAACAACTTGAGTAACGGTATGATGTGATATGAGGGGCTCGGTGGCCTTAAAACAACCGTTTTTGCTTACTGAGCAGAACGTCATCAGTCTAATCTCAAGCCCATCCACATTCAAGATTCGTCAATCGGTTTATTTGTCAACATGACTACATGGTAATAACAGCAACTCGATGATTTAAAAGGAGCTGCCTGCTTACTGAGCAGAAGACCGTGGGTTCAATACCAAGTTCCTTCGCGTTATATGATCGTTAGGACATCAATTCAGCTTATCGTTTAGCAAAACGAACCCTGCTGCAAACCCAACCCTCTTACCCAACATCCCTGTGATTCCTCGTGGAAGTGCAGAGGTGTTCTCGGCTTCCATCAAAGCGGGTGTCACGTCAACACATTCCTACCCATTCCTTTCTTGACCTGTGGTCGGGCGCTGCCGGCGCTTGTATTGCCTAGTTTGAGATCACCAGTTTTTACACATTGAGGATGATTGCTAGTCCTAAGCATCGTCTATTGGTTCTCTGTGTAATTACAGCTGATCTGGCAATAACAGAGTAGCAACCCTGGGCGGTCAATCATGTTTATGCTCATGCAGCAGGAGCTTGTGTTTTGTGTAGGAATAGGAATTTGAGCGGGGTTCTCTCTGTTTATATTCTTTAGTATAACTATGATTTCACAGAAAAGAACTTTTTGATATGAATTTTAGTTGGGACATGTTCAGAAATTTAACTCTTTTGGAAAATCTTGGTGGCCCTAAAAAAGGCCGATGGTAGTACAGGCTTAAATCCTTTTTAAAATGATGATGACGTGTAGGCAGCTGGATCAGCAAATCGGACCGGACAATTCCATATTCTTCGGTTCAATGATTGGGCACTACCAAGAGTTTCGGCCCGTCTGCTGCTGGAAAAGGGTTGAACTGGTGTCTGCAACAGGTTGGAAGGCCACTCAGCTTAAGCTCCTCCCTTTTTAGTTTTTTTTTTCTCGTTAAACTCCTTCTCTCAACAAGTTGGTAAATCTTAGCCTTTAGCAGAAAGATGCTTAACCTGACGCTATGCCTATTAAGATAAATTGGTACTTTTATTTATTTTCTCTACTGTGCTAAATCAAACGAGTAGATACAAGAAGGGATGTCGGTTACGCACTCGAATAATTTAAAACTCGATAAATAGTTAATCGAATATCTGGAAAAATCTTTACGATTAATCGTAAATCGAATAATTAGACTTTTAGGCATCCCTAAAAATTAGTTTACTTTCATGTTTTTTAGTGGTCCTTCGAAAATGTCCAACAGCAGAATTGCAACCAGCAAGCGTAACCCGAGAACCAAAAGCGGTGCAATGCTAGTTTTAATTGCTATGACGATGACTGAACTAAGGGGCTTAGAAGCAGAGGGGTGAAAGTCAAGTCTTTTTCTTTTTTTTTGATGACCATGGCTTAACTATCCTATTTCGCACTATTTCTGCTATGCTTTTCTATCAGCCAGAACATTAAACGTATCAATGAATGTGTTTGCCGTCGAGTTATTAACGAAACAGAAAGTCGATGAAAAGAATCGATCATAATCGCTTGCACCCCTGCTTCCAAGTTTGGTTACAAGATTGCAACTATGGAGAGCATTCTGTGTGACGATGAGTGTGCAAAATGTTACGCAATTGCATCATCCCTACTCGAAGTTACCTACTCCCTACTGTTAGTTATTATGACACTTTTGGACAATTCTTGACATTTACCTTTTTTCAATAACTTTTTTGTAGATAATCAACAGTTGGAATCATTGCTAGTGATGCATTGAAATATTTCTGATCGATTGGTGATAAAATTATTAAAATTGGTCCAGGAACAGCTGAGTTATTAAGGTTCAAAATCTTTCATTATTTCGTTACATGTTCCATTTTTGATTTTCACAAAGTGTACCCCCATGTATAAATCACAGACGTAGTCCAACGTTAAAAAATCCCCCTATCTCACATAAAATATTCGTAGAAGTCACACTTTACCGAGTTAATTTGATATTCTGACACGCCAAGAACCAAGCATCTGTCACGAACATAAGTTTAATTATTCACAACCGGAAAAGAATTGTTTCATTTCATTTCGTCATCAACCCACCGCCATTCATTCCTAAGGTATCCACCACACAACGAGCAATATCCTGACGTCCGGCAGTGATAAATCAATCGGCTCATAAATTCTGTGGCTACCAGTGAAAGGGCTGGCCTGAAGATGAGACGTATCCCCCCTCTTGTCCTCCCAACCAGCCAAGCACCCGCCAGTACTGGAAGCTCAACTAATTGTTGTTTCAATCCCAGCTCAGGTCAGCTCAGCCATCCATACATCATGGCTTCGAATCTTGACGATTTGTCAAGCCCAAGAAGTCTACACCGAGCGAGCATAAAGCATCCGAGGAGTTTGCTGGCACAACCGCATGCCACTTGTATGCACACGTCGTCGGTGCAAGGGATTATAATTTCCCATATTTATCAGGTGACCTTTTCGACAAGCCCGTTTATTATTAGCCCTGCTAACTGCTGCTGCATCGCTACTGCATTGCCTTCTATTTATCCACCCTCTGCCCCGACGTCGATTTAATTTATTGTGCCCCATAAACTGTAATTAAATTGTGTTTGATATTTTGATTAATGCCCTCCGACTTGACCTCTCTTTCCTCTTGCAGGGTTCAGCAGGACAACAAGCTGTGGGACTCGTTTCAGGATCCGCCGGTCCAGCAAACGTCTGGCTCGGCTGCCAGTCAGGACTATCTGATTGTGTTCATCAAGTGCCTCAAAGTGTTTACGTACATCTTCGTCTTCCTGGTTACGCTGGCGGCCAGCTGCTTCTCCAAGATGTCCTTCCTGCTGATGACGTCCAACGTCCGGGAGGGTACGAAAAATCGATTCTGTGACGTGAGACGTACGTATGGTATGGTCGGTGATTGTGAGCGATGGATAGTAATTGGAAATATTTATGCACAGAACCAGACAAACAGTTTGAGGCCTTCATTCCAACGGAGCAACGCATCGGATGGATGTGGGCCATCATCATTTCGTTTACCATTCCGGAAGTTGGAACATTGATTCGAGCTTCCCGTATATGTTTCTTCAAAAACATTTCACGACCCACGTGGGGCCAACTAATGGCCGTTAGCATTATGGAGGGTTTCCATGTGACAGGATTGGCCATGTTGGCATTCCTCATCTTTCCAAATTTGGACGCCGTCAAAGCGGTGATGCTGACCAACTGCATCTGCTTGGTTCCGGGAGTTCTTGGACTGCTGTCTCGCTCATCGTCGGAGTCCAAGCTTCCATTCAAGTACACAATCGACGTGCTGGCAATCAGTGCACAGGTGACGGGATTCGTAGTGTGGCCCATGTTGAATAACACGTTCGAATTGTGGTTTATACCGGTGGCGCTGTTCCTGGTATCGTGCCACTGGTGGGAGAACTACCTATCGCTGAAGAGCTACTTTCGTAAGTTTTCATTGCTACAAATTGTCAACCGAACCTAGATGTGTCACTCGAATTTCCAGGACCATTCGCTGCATTGGCCACAATTCGGGAAAAACTAACGGAATCTCGTTACTTCACCTATCTGTTCATATCACCGTTCAAAATACTGCTGTTCATGGGAGCCGGAGTGTACCTGTCCGGTCAGACGGTGTCCGATTTTTTCACCATGTTCAGCCCCGGCTGGGGTAACCACACGATCGTGGTTCGCGAGGTAAGTTCGCATTTCCATTCAAATGCAACGTCTTATTGTGCTTCCAATCAAATGCCATGCAGTGTTCCCATAACAAATAGCTCACAGCTCGAGGCCCGCTGCCAAACGTGATTACATCAGTGCCCTAGGATTATCCTCTTTTTTTTCCACCCTACTGTTACATTGCAATTTTTTCTCACGCAGATGAAAAAGCTTCGTTTTCCGTCGGAATGTAGTGCGTGAGAAAAAAAAAAACAAACCGTCCATCAACGCTTTTATTTTTCAATACGCCTGCCATCAATGATGCCGGTATATCTCTGAAGCTCAGGCCGTCGTGACCATCAACGGATGAATGTAATGGGAAAAATTGCCTACAACTGCCGGTTGGCTATTCTCAATTGGATCGAACTGGATCGGGGGAGTGTTGCTTGCGTAGAAAATCTACGAATCATGTGAACGTTAATTATAATTACAAGAAGGGATTTTTTTTTTAATTCACTACCGTCCCAATAAGCATTTATGAACGGATTCGCAAAAAAGAAACAAAAATTAAGCGTTTTTTAAGGATGAGTTCTAGACAAGGGGTGAGACAGGTTTACTCTGAATTGCTTTTTTGCAGCGAGTAACTCAGTGTACCTCAATATTTAATCGACGTTCATCGATTTTTTCTCTGCTTACTCCGTTTACTCCCTTTAAGAATATGCTTCTCATATTAGACGTCAATTTTGTTTGTAAACAAAGTAAGCCAAAGTGCATCTTAAGGCTTTCGAATAGCTTGAATATTATAGAAGAACCTGTGCCTGTAGCTGCTTACAACCAGCAAGAACATACAGTTCCAGCCAGCTTTCAGCAGTTGTTATTCCTCCTCAGCAGCCAGTCCCAGCTGTCACTTCAAAAGGATCATCGCTGATCAAACAAGCTCTCCAAACAGCTATTCTTCTAAACATCTGGAATTTCACCTATAATGCACGAATAAAAATGGTAATAATTAGCTCCGATACCCTTCTCGTCAGCACCATGCAAGTTATCTACAGCGTGAAGATTCCAACACAACACATCAAACATAGCGTGGTGAGCAATATTCCAACCGTGGCCCCTCCAATAAAATCCGCCGCTACAGTTTCCGATTTAGAAAACATCTCCCGGCGGAATGATCAGCCAGAGCAGCCACCGTTATACTCGGCTTCCATTGAAGACAAGCTAACGCAGGACTGCTTGCGACTTGCCCAGACGATAGCACCGCCACCGAAGAGAAACACAAAACCTGGTCGCCGGCCCAGTCCGCATCGGAGTAGCCAGTAAGCTGCCAGCCATCTCCTGGACCAAACACAAGCTGCATCTTCTTGGTCCCTTTTAGATACTTCACCACACGCTTACCTGCATTCCAATCCATATCTGTAGGTGCCCTCACTCGTCGTCCTAGGATTGAGACACTCACCGACACATCGTATAGTAATGCTCCCAGCAAGCTACGGTATTTGGTGGAATCCTCAAATGGCTTACCTTGAACATCTGCTTTCGTATAGCCGGGTTCCATGGGAGTCTTCGCAGGCTTGCAATCCTCGAGTCCAGATCGCTTGATAACTGCCTTGATGTAGCTGGTCAACTGCACACTGTAAATGCCCTTGTCGCAACGAACATCGTAACCCAAGAAATACTTTACCGCTGGTAGGTTCGTTATCTCCAGATGCTCCGACAATGCTTCTTACACCTGCATGATCTTCGATGAATTCCGACATCCAACTAGCATGTCATCCACATAAACTAGTAAGATCACCTTGTTCTGGTCTTCTACGCATACGTACAAACAACTGTCGGATTGACACTGTCTGAAACCTAGCTTGTTCAGAACTGCATGAAGTGAATGGTTCCAGCAGCGTGCGGACTGCTTGAGACCGTATATGCTTTTGTTCAGCTTACACACGTACTTCTTCTATCCCGCGACGACGTAGCCTGTAGCTTGACGCATGTAAATATCTTCATCCACTGTTCCGTGAAGATAAGCGGTCCACACATCGAAGTCACTAAGGTGCATTTTGTTCTTCGATGCAACCGCCAACATTGCCCGCAGTGTTTCATGTCGTGTGACCGGAGCGAAAACTTCAAGGTAGTCCACTCCCCACCGTTGGCTGAAACCCTGCGCCACAAGTCTTGCCTTGTACTTGACGTTATTTCTTGCTCGTTTCACTTTATCTTGTAAATTCATTGCGACCCATCTGGCAATTTTGTCAGCTTCCAAATGGCGTTCTGATCATGCGACTGCATCTCCGCATCCATCGCTTGTTTCCACTCCTCAACACGCATTGCTTAACGGTAGTCCTTCGGCTCCTCTACCGCTTCAACCGCAACACCGACAACAAAATCATCCAGGTGACTTGGGAACACTCCTCTGGTTCGGCGCTCTTCCCGTCGCAACTCATGCTCCACAGGTAGGTCAGACTCGTTGTCTTCAGCATCTCTTCAACCGTCCGACGAATTGCCATCCTCGGATTCCGTCGCTTCAGGCACACCGTTCGCCTTGGAAACACCCTGAATAGGAAGTTCTATCTCGTTGCCCGGAATACCCAACACAAAAGAGCTTTACCGCTTTATGGTCGAGCTTGGAGCGCTTTGATTCTGGAATCTGAACATATGCCTGGCACCCAAACACGTTTAGATGGGACAGATCTGGTTTGATGCCACTTCACAGCTTGATGGAGGTCTTTTCTACAACCCTGGATGGCAACCGGTTTTGCAGGTATGCCGGTGTAAGCACAGACTCCACCCAGTACAACTTATCCATTCCAGCATCCGCTTACATACTGATCGCCATCTCCTGAAGGGATCTGTTCTTACGCTCTGCCACACCGTTTTGTTGTGGCGTGTAGGGCGTAGTGAATTGCGCTTTGATGCCTTCCTGCTCATAAAAATCACGCAATTCCCGATTTTGGTATTCACCCCCACCATCGAAACGAATAATTTCTGAACCCACCTTACATACTGTTTGATCTTGCTTGCAGCCTCGCTTTTGTGACTCAACAAGAAAACGACGGTGAAACGACTAAAGTCGTCGATTAACGTCATGAGAAAACGATTGCCAGATGGAGTAGTAGTTTCCATAGGCCCACACAGGTCCGTGTGAATCAGTTCCGGGGGTCGCTTTGTTTTCCGTTCCTTCACAGGCGGGAAAGGCTTACGGGCTAGCTTTCCCTTCAAACAGTATACACACGTCGTTCGGACGCCACAATTAGAAAGTTTAAAACCACTTACCAGTTCCTCACTTTCCAACCTCTTGAGTACGGCCGGGTCACGATGGCCTACCCAACGGTGTCAGGTATGTTGGCAATACTTATAATGTTTGCCAGCTACTTTCAGCTGCACACGAAGCCGATTTTGTCACCAACCACAACTGTCTCACCGGCCGAGTTCTTAATATCACAGTTCGTAGCACCAAAAAACACATTGAATCCTTTCGCTGCCATCCGGCTGACAGAAATCAGTCCACCGTCGAGGCCAGGTACAAAAAGCACATCCTGTAGTGTAATCTAGACGCGATTCCCACCGTAAACAATCCCAATTTTCACCGTAAACAATCCCTTCACCGACACCACTGGCCTTGGCATTATTGCCATCCGCGAGAGTAACCATCGATTTGACACTTGTTTGCAACGATAAAAAGAAACTAGAGTCACTTGTCATGTGGCTCGTAGTGTCACTGTCAATGACCCAGCCATCACCGCTAGCCTAAAAACAAACCGCACCGCCAATTCCTTTGGCCTTGCTTGGCCTTGTGGACATCACCACTAGAATGTCCACTTTTCTTCTTTCCGGAACCGCTAGCATTACTCTTTGCCAACCACTTCTTAGACTCGGCCTTGAAGTGGCCTGCTTCCTTGCAGTAGAAGTAAAGCTTCTCCTGTTTGTCTCTAACTGCATCCAATGTCATCGCCCTTGCCACTTTTTGCTTGCGCTGACGGTACTCATCGAGCAAACGTGTGTTGACCAACGCTACCGTCCAGTCTTCGTCCAGCCGGCTTTACAGACTCAGTATCAGGCTGTGGTCAGGGCTGGCAAATGTCATTTTCAATGAAAGATCTCACGCGACATTTACAGAGATAATTCTGTCACTATCATCGGATGAGAAAACGATGATAGAGATTTTCTTCAAAATCTCATCGAATTTTTCGTCATGACAAAACGTGACAGTGTTGTGATCATCGTTATTACTAGCTCATTTATTGCTTTTAAAGTTACTTGTACCGAGAAAATCGGTTACGGTTACTTGCTTGAATTAATCTAAATCAGCTAGACATGTAGATGTTAAAACCGCAATATAATTATTCTCATGAGTGCTTGATCATTGGAAACAGAGCTGCCAGGTGGTTTTATAAAAAATCTGTATCCACTCTATTAAAAAATCTGTATTTTCTGTATTGACGATTTTTTTCTTAATTAATCATGTTTTGTTGTTTTACAAATACAGTGCATACAAAATAACCATAAAAAGTGCTTAACCACCTATTCGAGCTATCGTACTAACCATACGGGATATAATTGCGCCATTTGTGATATCGTCCGTACTTATTTATAAGAGTTATATGATGCCGTTTGAAAATGTATTGAGATTTTAGTTTCTATTCATTATCTTCCTGATAAGCAGTTTTAAATGCAAAAAAGTGCACGAGTTCATTACTATTTGATATTTTTAATATAGATGAATACAATTAATTACATCATTTGTGTGGTAGTTACACCGAAAAGCCGAGAGATGTCGCCTCGCCAGTGCTGGTAAAATCATTTTTGCAGTATGGAGAATATCAGAAAATCCGCAATTTCTTACGAAATACATTTTCAATGCAAGTAAAATGTTTACGAGTACTTGTATTTGTACCATTTTAATGTGCTCGGGCACTTTTCTTGTATTTAACATACATGCTTATATTGGAAATATTCAATTAATACTGTAAATCCCCATACAATCTCAAATCGTTTACTACCAGCTCCATATGCATTCGAAAGCGGTTGGTCCTCTGGTTGTGAAT